AAAGATTTATCTTACGAATTACCACTGATGTGATATGAAAATACAATCAATATCTTGTTTTTCTCAAAAATGCTTCTGCACAAATCATTTAAATACCTATTTATCATTTGAAAAGTTCATCTTTAGCAGAGAGATCAATACAAGCCTGCTATTGCAGAGAGTAATGTTGCTACTGGCTACAAATCTCATCCATTCTTTATATAAGTAAATTTATATATGCATGTACTGTTTGGCTTAAGTTTTCGTCTGAGACATCTTATCCGATTATCATTCGACTTTATATATAGCTACACAGTGCCAATGCTTCTTCCTCTAAAAAGTGATAAAAACATAAAACTACCTTATCTGACATTATATTCTTCTGTACTAAAGACAAGTGAAACTTTATTGACTATGTCTAGTTTTTATTCATCCAACCAATTTTTCAAGTTAACCTTATCGAGCCTCATTTTTAACCACAAGTATGACCGTATATAACCTAGTATTAGTGGGATTAGTGTACTCTTCAGCTAGTTCCACTGTGTCATACCCTCAATACTTTCTTGAAAGATTTGTGGAAAGAGACATTTATAGCATTGTAACATATGTGATGGGGTCATATGTATAGATGTTGATGTTCTTAGTTGGAGTTATCCCTAACATGGACATGACAGGGGATCATATGAAGGGATGTAGAAGTTCTTTATTGGTGGATTGGAGTTATCCCTAACACAGATGTGATGGGTGACATATGAAGGGATGTAAAACTTCTTTATTGGTAGATAGGAGTTGATCCCTAAGACAGACAGGACAGGGGTCATATGAAGGGATGTAGAAGTCCTTAGTTGGCACATGGAGTTATCCCTAACACATGTGATGGGTGACATATGAAGGGATGTAAAACTTCTTTATTGGTAGATTGGAGTTATCCCTAACATGGACAGGACAGGGGTCATATGAAGGGATGTAGAAGTTCTTAGCCAAAACCTCAACTGACTGATCCACTTCATCACTAGTAATACTGACCAGTGGTCTTGGTGACTTTCAAAATATAGTAATTGAAGAGGCAATTCTCCAAATCCTAGATGGAGTTTTCATATGAATACTTTCAATCCTTCTCATACTACCAGTGTCACATATGATCGCATTATTGTCTCATCTGTACTTCAGTTATCCGGACATGAATAGACAAATTGAAATCATTTGAACATTTTTCAATTAAACAAAGCAAAGCCATTCTAAAATTTTTGAGAATTAAAAAAAAAAAAAAAAATAAAAAAAAAAAAAAAAACACATACTCAACATTTGATAAAAACAGTTCAATTGATTCTTGTTAATTTCCTTGTTGCTTTCATACAAGAATATATATTTGAATTATCACAGGTTTTCAGCATGCCAGATTATGGCTTTCACATCACTTACATGGACATGATGCACGTAAACCATGCTTCAACTAGAAGCTACCCTTACAATTCTGCTTTAATCCAAGTTTGGGAATTAATGGCAGAAAAATAACACACACACACAAATAAAAATAAAAAAATAAAAATTAATAATGGATGCATTTTTTTTTCATCAAAAATAAACTGGAGAAAACCTTAAGCAAAGCATTTAAAAATGCTACTTTATGATATAAATGTTCATTTCTTTTTTCAGAAAATGACTTTTTCCTCCTTTTTTTGGTAGTTTAGATATTAAATTATGCAGAACTTAGAATAATCTGAACATATTTTTCAACTTCTATCCCAATGTGCTGGATAACTGAGTAAATACTGTATTTGAAACAGACTATGTAATTATTGTTTTCATAGTTTGTTACTTTTATTTATAACAGTTTTTGAATTTTTTTAAATTCAATGACTATTTTTTTTTAAATATTCAAACACTGAATAGCGCAAAAGAAGAATAAAAAAAAATAATGATAAAAACGAAAGAAACAGTTTGCTTCAATTTTTTATTGACTTTTTTTAAAAATCAACAAACAAATGATAAAATGTTTTGTCTACTTCATGAAAACCAGTCCTCTATTTGCAAAACAAAGAAAAAAGTACAATAAAAAGAAAACCAAAAACTGATTCTAATGTCTGCTTTTTTGCAAAATGTAACTTCATTCAGCATCAAATTGGCTTAAACTGGATTTAAATATTAATTTCAGAAATGAAACTTGAATATAGTCTCTCAACACTAAATTTTATAGATTCTAAATGGTGCCACTGAAGATATGAAAATCTTAAAAGAAGAATATATATATATATATATATATATATATATATATATATATATAATTAAAATAAAAATTTTAAAAATTAACAGAACGTTGAAAAAATTTCAAAAGTAATAAATTAAATAATTTGAAAAAAAAAAAAAAATAAATAAAAATATTGGAAAAAAATAATTTCAAATAAAAATATAATGGCTAAAAAAAATTTTAAATAAAAATATTGGAAAAAAAAAAATTTTAAATAAAATATTGGAAAAAAAAAAATTTTAAATAAAATATTGGAAAAAAAAAAAAAATTTTAAATAAAAATATTGGAAAAAAAATTTTAAATAAAAATATTGGAAAAAAAAATTAAAAATAGAAAAGAAAAATTCCAAAGTGTAGGTTAAATAAATAACTAAATCTGTTACCAAATATTCAATATGAATTGGTATTATTTAAAAAGAGTTGATAGCAAATGAATGTTGCTTATATCCAACATGATCATAAAGAAAGCCGTTATATACAATAGTATATAAGGGCCTTTTTCGTTAATGCAGTATGTTGTTCAGGAACAATTATTTACTGCATCATTAACAGTATTTGAACTCCTTTCCAGATTTTGAATGTTGTTGTTGCCCTATAATCTTTCAGCCACAATGAAAGCTTAATTCCTTTTCATATCATTAATTCAACTACAAATATACATGTGTATACATTTTAAAATTCACTAATTTATTTTATATCATTTGTCAGTCATTTGTACAGTTGAATGAATAGAAAAATGCAAGGAAGAGCAAAACTAATATTATCTACACATGAACACACATACATACATACATACACTATAGACACTAGCATCATTTTCAATGTATGAGGGTTCAACACTATATTCTGCCCTTGATACCCTAATTGTGTTTGTGCCATTAATGACTTAAGGCCAACTTGAGGCCCACAGAACATTTCAGATATAGTACAAGGAATAATACTCCTTGTTTAGGCTGCAGGAATTTTAGAGCAGTGTTCAACTTTGTAATAGGTAGATGTTCAATGTGCGACCTCTCAAAAATTGTAATGCCCTTTATGTACACACTCCTCCACTTGATATGATCACAAACCACTTCCTCAAAGAAAGACAGAGAGATGTCAACTGAATTTACATTTTTCTGAAGTGTTTAATGTTTTATGACCATCAATATAAAGTCTGTGGTATATGGTCTTCAAAGTGGTTAACCATTTGACCAAAAGGAAATTAAAGAGTTAATGTGTGGTTAAAGGTTTTGGGATCAAGTGATAACAAACCAGACATTTATGATTTCCAGGTGCTGGTCTATGGTAACAGTCACAGTTGAGATGTAAGTAATCACTTCTGGTCTACTCTTAGTGAGGGACAGACTGTCCCTTCGGTTGTCCCAATGCTACCTGTTTGTGTTGCCAGTCATTCATAGTGATGATGAGATGTGCAGAGAATTGGTAGTAGGGAGATCAAAGTCCTTGTTTCCTGTTTAGGATTTGGTTTCCATTTCTTTCTAAAGTCTACTACAACTCTACACTTTTAACATCTCCTCCTAAACTGCTATTTTATTTACTATTTAACAGGAACAGATAAGTTTGCCTATTAACCAGTTGACACTCATCCTTGTTTATTTTTAACAGGAGTATAAGTTTATCTCTCTTTCCCTGTTTAGGATTGGCTTTTCAGTTCCTTCTAAAGTTTCATTCTTTTTCACTCCCAGTAGCCTCTTGCATCTTGGTGTTATTAGTGCCTTGCTTGGGGTGAATTGATTAAAAAAAAATAAAAATAAATAATACTGATACAAAATTACAGCTCTGGAAAAGTTCTTGACACATAACATTTCTCCAAATCTAACCAAACATCAAATTTTGTTTTTTAATCCCTTCTTGGTCAGACTGAGAACTTTTCAGCTTTTCTTCATATATTTGTTTCAGATAATACATTCAACACTAACAGCTATGTACATGTGATAGATTTTCCAGTATATTTTTCTTTTTATTATCAAATCTAATATTTCTGTATCATATGCTGAGAATTTTGAATGTTAAATTGATAAACTGACTGAAAAATCTGAAGTAGGACTGATATTTTCTGCAAGTATATTGGCTTCCTAAAGACTTCATATCATTCAAAATTTAATTTCCTTGCATAGGAATATGATTGAAATTCAATTTTTTTTTAAATTTTGAAATTAAAATGTGCATAAGAAGTTAAATTTTGTAACGTGCCAACTAATGTTAGCATAAAATACAATCTTTTGATGCGAATCTGTTGATTTGCAACATGAATTTTACAACTGATCTATAATTTATGAAGATCATTTTTTGTTTTTCTTTACTTTGATGAAAAAAAGAATCATGAATTAAAATTTATTTCACCTCAGACTGCTTTTCCCTTAATTCATTTAAATTATTTCACCATTAAAAATAAAAAACAAAAACTGATAAATTTCTGACGAACTTTGTGGCTAATGAATGATTGATTAATATAGAAATAAGAGAACTGTTAAAGTTTTGTATTAAGCCAACGAGAAATGCATTTTCATAATCATTTCTCATGAAATGATGAAGCTGAAAATTCCACTGAAAATCCAAAGCAATGAAGTAAAAAAAAAATCAAATTCAAACAATTCATAACAAAAAAACAAAACAAAAACAGCCAAACCATAAAAAAAAATGAAAAATCATCATAGAAAATTTTTCATCTCAATAAACAAAGATTTTCATTTTTTTTTTTTTTTCTTCAAATCAATTGAGGAGAATAGATGTCACTCTTAAAAAGATTTTGCATGCGGAAGTGTGTAATTCAAAATAACTTTACAGAGATAGACAGATATATAATGAGAAAAAGAGATAGATATGAGAGAGAGAGAGAGATAGATATGAGAGAGAGAGAGAGAGTCTGTAAATTAATTAGCGAATGTTCATAGGACTTATCTTATTGACCAAGTCCAGAGTTTTGTATAACAATGTTCATCAGGGTCATAGGGTCCAATAAATAATAAAGAGATTTATCAGATCACCTGATCATGATGAACATTGTTTTGTGAAACTCGGGCATTGGTCGATATGACAAATCCTTCGAACATTAGCTAATTAAATTACAGATTTTTGTCACTCTAGTTTTTTTTTTTTTTTTTAAACAAAATTCTTCTGGCCTTAAAAGTATGTTAAATTCTAGTAAACTTTACCTGTTGTAATAAGTGTCATCAAGTTGTACTGATAAAGGAAGGTAATGAAAAATTTTTCACCTGATTCACTTAACCAAATGTTTTTAATGGTTATCTCATCAGGTTGAGAACTTTTCAGCATTTCCTCATTCATATATACATATGTATTAATTCTTTGTATGTGGGTGTATAAAATATTCATATGTGCATGTCTTGTGCATTAGCTTTACTACTGTAGATGACTTGTCCAATTAAGTTTATTAAATAACAATATAAAATAGACATCATCAAGATCATCATCAACACATAATACATGCCATATGTTGAATGGCCTCTTATTTTGTTTTTCACCAGCCAACCACTGACCTTCCTCAGGTATTGTGTCCTGGAATGTCAGAAAATTTTGCTCAGATATTTCAAAATGCAACAGGCACCAGAGGAAGGCTGGAAAGTAGATGGATCAAAACATTGGGGAAAAGAAAACAAAAAAAAATTGGAGAAATAGTCTGAAGCAAAACATATATAAATGGTTAAAATAACTAATATTCAATTAATAAATAAATTGTAAAAAGGGAAAAAAAATGCAAACTACTGAAAAAAGAAAAAATTCTCAAAATTTTTCATCTCAGTAAGGGGAGGCAGCTTGTGTGAATGGATGGTAGAAAAGTAAGTGAAGGGGATGGCATAAAGATAAATGTTACTAAGAGCTACAAACGATAGGATGTTGTGGAGGGTCATGATCACCTGAAGGGACATGGCACATAAAAGGAGATTTGTTTTCTCAGTTATATTGTATGAATGGATTGTAGCCTTGATAATAACTGATTCATGATTTGACTTTTTTTTTTTTTTTTACAACTTATCAACCCTTTACGAGTTATTTAAAGGTGAAACAATTTTTGGATTCTAAGAATAATTCTTTTATTTACAAGCGATTATTGCATTACTAATTTTTGGATATAACAATGATTTTTCCAGATACAGGTCCTACTATTTAAACAAAAGTTGGGGGATATGAAATGGATTCATACCATTCTCAAGGGTATTTGCTCATAAATAAATGACTGGAATTTGAACTTGGCTCTCAGTTTTCTCATTCCATGCCATTATCCATTACATCACCTGCAGTCTTGATAATAAAGATTCACCAATGAGTCCAGACCCTAAGGACAAAAACAATATTTATTTTTTAACCTAACCTGTCAATTCAGTGGTAAATATTAATTATGTATTAATTTTTAACAAGTATTTATTTTTAATTTTCTTTGTTGCTTTTTATCAGGCTGTCAATCTCCAATACCAAGGAAACAGTACAGAATTAAAAATAAAGAAACTCTTAATGAGGTCTGAATGTATGTTGCTTTCACCTAAATTAAAAAAGAAGCCTGATAAATGCCTGTGCACATTAAGCATTAATATCAAAGAAAAAAAAAAAAAAAAAAAAACAAAGATAGAAGTAAATGCTAATCAAATAATAATAATAATGGTTGACAATGCTTCATCTAATAAATAAAATATAAAAAATGCAACTGCTATTGAACACAGAGCACAAACATTATACAATGAAAATTTAGTAAAGTTAATAACCATGTGACAGGGTATGGACTTACTGATGTTCACATTTCTGTGTGTGTGTTTTATCAGAGTTCGCTCAATACAAGGCTCAAAAGCCACTCAAGATAGAGTTAATAAATGAGGAGTGTGATATGAATCACAGAGAAGGAAGTGAAGAATATAAGGATAAGGAGAATAGATAACAATTGACTCTTGACTTGAAGAGGTTAAATTGTGGTACTTGGGGCAAGCATCCACATAGGAGTCTGTTCACAAAATAGCAGTTCTTAGGAAAAAGGAACCTGCTCCTTACACTTGAAATACAGAGAAAATAAGGGTGACTTGACTCAGTGCACATAGTATGGAAAGTCCTAGCTGTAACCATCTGAACTGTGTGTTTCAAAAAAATAAATATAAAAAAAGCACCTCCACTTCATAAAATACAACATCTGCATCACTGGAGATAACAGTATATATTATTAAATGTTTTCAATGATATATTTTACTGTTGACAGTGATGGAAAACTGTTTTGATAAGAGCAAAAAGAGAGAGGCAAAAAAAAAAAAAACCTGATACATTTGTAATTATCCAGTCAATAAAAAAACATTTAAATTCAGTATCAAAAACATTATTATTAAGCCAAAGGAATCAATATCTGCAACCAAACTAATTATGATTATTATTATTATTTTTTTACTCCTGCTTTGTCATGCAAACCTGGAGCATCTGCCTACAAAATTTATGCAAAGGAAGTCCAACCACATTGTAGTAGTCCCCATTAATAGACTCAACAAATGTGGCTGCCAAATCTTGGATGCTGTAAGAACCGGCTCTTCCCATTGGCTCACCAGTTTTAAGATAGGCATTTATAATTTCGGGAGCCAGCTCACACATAAAAACCTCTGTGGTCTCGTACGCAAGCACTACACAAAGTGCTGGTTTGTCCTCTGATTCTTTCAGTAGATGTCCAACCTTCCAGGTGCCAGGTGTAACAAGTACAAAGCCAGTTATTGCTATATGAGGCCTGTTAAAAAACAAAACAAGACAAAAAAATATATTTTAATATGAGAAAAAACATATGTTAATCAAAATTTATATCAGAACAAAAAACATTAGTTCTGGTTCCAAAGAACAACAATCACATATAAAGAAACTTAAATATATATACAAATAAATTACTAAGGTATTAATAAATAAATATTAACTGCTGTATATACTTGTGTATAAGACAACTTAATGTATAGTGTGACCTCTGAATATTTTTGCATGAACTTTTAGCACCCCACCTGCAAAAAAATTACCTGTGTATAGTGCAACCACAAATTCTTTTGCATAAAAAACTCATCATAAAAACTCACACTATAGTCAAGTATATATGGTAAATATAACATTTATGGTAATCCTTCTTTTATGTGTCATGGACATGGCTCTCCACAACTTCCTATACTTTGTAGCTCTTAGCAATGTTTGTCTTTTATTCTCCCTCTCACTTCTTGTTCTACCATCCATTTACACAAACTCATTAGATACATTATTCACGGTTTCCCTGCTGCCCCGCTTGCCTTCAAGGTCCTATGAGTGTCATATTTTCCAAACTCTTTTTTCTCATTTTGTCCTAGAAATTTCAACCATTTAAGTATAAGCATCCTTTTTGTTTCCATCTACCTTAAAACTTATTTCTCACATGCTGTCCTTGGCATTCTCAATATCCTTCTGTAGAATTCAACTGACAAAGCCTGTTTGTTTAATCTTTTACTTAAGTTAATGCCTTGTTCAGTCTTTTGTACAAATTTATAGTATTTAATATTGACTTTAGTAGTGACAATTATAAGGTAACTAGCATAGTACCTGTCAAAAATGATGGGGTCATTTACATATAGACCAGCATTTCTGCCTAGGATCAAAGTGTTGTTGCTCCCAGGTTTCTGTTTAGGTTCAATGTAGCACCTTTTCACTCTGTGAAAAGTACTAAAACACACTATATATATATATATATATATATGGATGACCCTACACCTTTCAGACCAGAGTTCACATTTAAACCACCATGGAAATATACCAACCACAATACAAAATATACTCATTGAGAACAGAGATGCAATATGCACATCCAACTGCAAAATATGTTAAAAAAATAATGGAAGCCCTTGTATAAAAAGTCAAAACAGACCCTTGTCAACATCAACTATGAACACAGACACAATATTTTTCTATGAGCCACGTCCCTTCAGGATGTTGATGATCATGGCTCTCCATAATTTCCTGTCTTGTTATCTCATCTAGACTTTGTTCTGCCATCCACTTACTCAAGCTCACTAAGTATGCCATACACTGTTTTACTCTGTCTCTCTTGCCTTCAATATGTCCCTTGAGTATCAGATTTTCCAAGCCCTCTTTCATCATCATGCGCCCTAGAAATTTCAACTGCCTCTTCCTGATATTAAGTATAAGTTTCCTTTTTCTCTAAAACTTTTTTGTTGCTCACAAGTTCAGTCCATGTTATTCTCAGCATCCTTCTGTAGAACTACATTTCTGTTGCGTCAAGTCTCTTCTTAATGTGTGAGGAGATTGTTGAGCATTCCCTGCCATATAAGAGGACTGATATTAAGTAACAGTTCAGTAATCTTTTCTATGACCCAAATCCTTGAAAATGGCTAATAGATTATCTGAAAACATTTGAAAGGAACAACAATCATTTGGACAATTTCTACATACTCTAAGTCCCAAAAATAAATCTTGTTTGCATACAAGATAAAGGTACTAGGGAGGGAAACTCTGATCCAGAGCTTTCTCACTTCTTTGAGGAACCCCTCCCTGATTAGTCATGTCTTCAGTGGTGTAGCCATACTCACTACGCTTGGCCAATAGCAGATTGGAGGTTTCACATTCAGAGTTGTCCTCCTCCTATACTGGTTGTCACCTAAGGCTACAGGACTCAGTCTGTCCTGTTATTTACCCATAGCTGGGGGAGAGAGAAGAGATGGTTTCATAACTTTCCCAAGAGTAATTTCATATAAATGAATGTAACAAACTTGACTGGAATTCAAACTTGGTTCTCTGATTCCTTAATCCATTGCTCAAACATGCAGCCAGAAAAATGCAATAAAAACACAACAAAAGTACTTTGTCAGTCATTTTTAACAAAACATGTATTAGAGAGGAATTCCTGTCCAAAACAACTATATATATATATATATATATATATATATATATAAATATATATATATATAAAAAAAATACACTCTCATATGGATAAATATTATATATATATATATATATATATATATATATATATATATATATATATATGTGTGTATGCAGATTAATGATAAATTAATCTGATTTAAATTCTTCATGTAATATCTTGTTCGTGATTTTACAAGCTTAAAATGTTGCCTGTCAGGATTGGGTAGATAAACGTTAAGCAAATATGAAGGGAATTGTTTATCAAATTCTTTGAAAACATGAACATGAAGCATAAAGTCAACTGACAAAAGTACTGTGGCCATTTTCAAGTGTTTGCTTCCATATTGGATCTGAAGAGCCTTGGAATGGTTATTTATATTGAAGAATCAGAGGGAAATAATTACCCAACATGGCAGTGAAGAATGGAAAGCAGAGATAGAATGCAAATTTTAACCTAAGGATAGATTAATGAGGTTTCAGCCAGAAAGGAATTCATGAACGAATAAAGAGTGAGAATAAATGGGTAGGTTAGAAAAAGTGAAGAAAAAATTGAGAAAGACAAAGTAAAAGAAAGAAAACCCAGACAATGGTAGGGGGAGAATAAAATGAAGGAAAAAAAAACAGACAGAACTAACAAAAAAAAAAAAAATGCTGTCAAAAAATAAAAGATCACAAAAATAATCTTTGAATTCGATATTTAAATAAAAGTATAGTGTTTCTCCCTAACTTGAACAAAAGAAATGAGGGACACCCCAACCCTAGTGCTTGATAGTAGATATGTATGGACCACCCCTCCTTAACACATTTAATCTATAACAAACTTAAATGTTAAAATATTTCTTCAAAAGATTGATTTCTTTTCATTTTTATTAGACTTTGACTTCTTTGTATCTTTTAACAATTTAGCTATTTCAACAGCACGTGTCTCCTTATTTCAGAAATTTTCATTGAGTTCTCTATTCAGTTGGTTTGTTCAAGAATTTCTTTCAAATGGCATCCTTCTTACACTAGTTGCCTCCATGTATGCCAACTTTATATGTGCATGTATTTAATTTTACCTTACCTAATAGGTATCTCTCTCTCACATATATATGACGTCACACACTACAAAATGGACAAAGTCCGACAATTATTTTAATATATTTTATTGTTATATGTTATTTAATATTTATTAAATATTAAAGTAAATGCTCAGTTTATAATAAACAGCATTAACAACATTTATGCTTCAGGCAGATATGAATGTTCAAGGGAAATCATGGAAAACTGTAGTTTGAAAGCAGTAAAATTGACCTTGCTAACCAGATGCTCCTTTGTAGCTAAACTGGTATAACACGTCAGTTCTGTGTAGGATACGGGTTAGTTTCATGTCAGAGGGCGCATATTGTCCATTGCGTAGTGTGTGACATCATTTGTTTATGTTTAGATACACTTACAGAAGATATGAAAATAGTAGTTTTAAAAGCAGTAAAATCAATCTTGCTAACCAAGCACTCCTATTTATTTGAAAGAATAATTTTATATTTACAATATTCTAAAATTTAATATTGTATTAAAACTAATGCAATGAAATATTTATCACTTACAAATTTATAAAGAAATGAATATGAAAACGATTATTTATTCATAAATTTATAAACATTTACTAAATTATTAATATATATGAACCAACTATAAGGAAATCTTTATTATTTACCATTTTATAAAGTTTGAATCGACTGGTAATTAGCCAATGTTTTGTCAACCATTGTGACAAACAATTTAATAAATAGCTTTTGTTATTTTTGTTGTCAATTCTCAAGAACAAAAAAATGTATAAATACACTTTCATCATATGTTTTGGTTTTATTAAAATTCTAATCATCATTTTTTAAAGCAATAAACATTGACAAGAAGTGAAGGTAGTTAATATAATGGCAGCATCGGGGGTGGGGGAATATCCATTTGGCACTTGATTTTTTTTGAGTTTTTTTTTTTTTCAGGCATGGTGGTCAAAGATTGCCATAAATTCAATAAATATTCAACCAAATGAAGACTTTTTTTTAAATTTTTATTTTTTATAACCAACTTAAGATTCTGACCAGTACTTGGGTTAGTTAATTCTTGTGAAAGAATTAGTGTTCCATTTTTCTGCTTAGGTCTTATAAATAATGAAGAAAGACTTTTCAAACGTTTCAATGTAGCTATAAAAGTAGAATTGGGAGAATTCTTGGACAGTAGAAAATAATGTATTTAGTAACTTTTTGTTTAATGTTGCATTTTCTTTCCTTTTTCTCTCTCTCTTTCTGAGTTGCTTAAGCCACACTGATATCAGTAGTGAAGTTGCTTAAGGTTTAGTAAAATTTGAGTACAGTTGTTTAGGAATGAGTTGCTATACAGGGTACAATGAGTAAATTGTTGCCATTTTATATTTTTACTTTTACACATGCATATTGTTGTTTTTGATTTTGTCATCTGCACAGTATATTATGGTTAGTTGGGCACCATCTCTGAGAAAAAGAGCACAATGATGCCATTCACTCTGCCAGAGATTTGGAAATGGCATGCTGTATTGCTTGGCATTTGTGACAGGAGCTCCAATACAAACATTTTAGGGTGTTTTGGGTGTCAATCTGAGGACAGTCCAGAGGATTTTGGAAAAAGTTGGATGAGTCTAATGGTGATTATCAAGGTGCTTGGAGTGATCACTAATGATGGCAACGTTATGCCTTCATTGATCTTCACATAGGGCACCAGAGTCAACATAGAGGCCTACATCAAATGCTTTGAGGAGGTAGTGCTGTCCTGGGTCAAGAAGGTGGCTGCTGGAAGATCCTATGTCTGGCAACAGGACTCTGC